TTCAGACCATAGCTCGGGCTTGGAAGAGCAGTTTGCTGCGCCGTGACTGTCTTGGCTTGGGATGTTATCATCAACGGGTCGAGGACGGCTTGGTACGTCCTATTTAACGCGTTCTCCTTATGGCTCAACCTAGTGTTCTCATTCTAAGTGCGTGCTTTTGTTTCTGTCCTAGAAACACGTTGCCCGAGCCCCCGTCCAATAAGATTCGATCTTTGGTTCCGAAGGGCCGGCCGGTCCAGTGCTGCAAGCTCTGTCCTTCTTTCTCGCACTAATGTGCGCTGTTCCCTCGCTTCTACCATGAACGTGAGCTATTCGACAACCGCTGCGATACTTCTGCTGCATAACGCTCGACAGACCGTTAGGACGCTTCTGCCCCCAACATATATAACTCGCCAACCATCACCACATTCTTAAACTTTTCCTTTCGTGCTTCGCCTACACATCGTTTAAACAATGGCCAGGATTTTGAGATTTCTTGTCTCCCTTTTTTGGCGGCTCGTCCTCTGCGTTCTGTTCGTGACCAACCCTGTCCGGTTTTGCCTGATCTTCATATTTGGGAATTTATCTGCCAAGGTAGCTTTATGGATTCCTGGTCGATACCGTGTGGAATGAGTATTGACTCATCCCTTAGGTCGTTCGAAGGGACACTGACCCGATCACATCGCCTTCGCCCCGTGCGTCGCAAGACGAGACATCTCCCTTCCCTGATCGGGAACCGTCCGGTGATGGGTTGTACTTCACCGCGCCGTGTTGGGACCTTGACGACGTCGTAGGGGAAGAGTCAGTATGTCCGAGACCATCGATCATCGTACGTCTCTAATATTTAAACATGACTTCGTCCTGACTGGCTTCTCGAACAGCCTCCGACTATCGGAAAGGATGTTACCCTGAAATTGATAGGACGAGCTCAAGAACTCCTCGAGATGTTCCTGGCCGATGAGAACCAACACTCGCTCGAACGGGCGAACCATCTCCTGGGTCACCTCGTTCCGCTTCTTTCAGAAGGAGCCTTCCTGGCAGTGGCCCTGTTCCTCCAATCACATTGTCGCCTTTTGCTGTTCGGCCTGACGGAGGATACCTTTCTCTTGGATAAATGCATAGAAGGGTTCCAAAACGTCCTTGCTCTCCAAGCGTGGGATGTGGTTGGCCGCCGTACAACGCTTGCGCTCTACGGAACCGCGTTCGGATCTCGCTATACCAAAAGTGAAAACGTCGAGGACTTGGATCGAGCGATCGAGTTGTACTCGGAGGTGTTGGCAGAGAATATGGACCGGCCACCCTCGGTCGTTACCGAACTTGGAGAGCTCCTCTTGGTTCGACATAGAAAAGGGCGGAACGGCGACGACCTGGATGATGCGATACGTCTCCTAGGCGAAGCACACTCACTCCTTGGCGTAAGGCACCCGCTGCGTCCATCCAATTTGAATAATCTAGCAATTGCCCTCACTACTCGTCATGCCAGCCTAGGAAGCATATCCGATCTAGAGGATGGGATTACCCACAACCGACAGGCCCTCTTACTCCTTGCTCGTAATCACCATGACCGCCCTGGCAGCCTGTACAACCTCAGCAAGGCTCTTGTCGCTCGTTACAAGAGGTTGAGGGACATATCCGACATGGAAGAGGCGATCGTCTACCACCATGAAGCCCTTTCACTGATTAGTGCCAATCACCCGCTGCGTCAAGCCAGTTTGACCAGCCTAGCAAGTGCCCTCCTTACCCGTTACAAGACATTTGGGGGAATTTCCGATGTGGAGGAGGCAATCATCCTCAGCCGGGAAGCTCTCTCGCTTAGACCTGATGGTCACCCATTCCGCTCCTCCAGTTTGAACGATCTAGCGAGTGCTCTCGTTACCCGCTACAAAAAATTGGGGAACATTTCTGACTTGCAAGAGGCTATCGTCCACAACCGAGAAGCGCTTTTGCTCCTTACTGCCAACAATTCCGACCGCTCGCCCACCTTGAATAACCTCGGAAATGCCCTTGCTGCTCGTTATAGAAAACTGGGTGACATAGCGGACCTGGAGGATGCCATCGTCTACCACCGAGAGGCGCTCTTATCCCGACCTGGCAGTCACCCCCTTCGCGCTTCCAGCTTAACTAATCTCGCAAGTGACCTTCTTACCCTGTATGAGGAGCTAGGGAAGATTCACGACCTGGAGGACTCCATCGCTTACCACAGGGAAGCACTCTCACTTCGATCTAGTAGTCACCCGTCCCGCACCTTTACCTTAAACAACCTAGCGGGTGCCCTTCATGTCCGTTACGGGATATTGGGGAGCATTTCCGACCTGGAGGAGGCAATTATCTACCATCGGGAAGCTCTCTCCCTTCGACCTAGCGGTCACCCGGACCGGCCGAAGAGTTTATGCAACCTAGCGTGTGTCTTTGATTCTCGATTCTCGAGGTCAGGGAGCATGTCCGATCTACAAGAAGGCATCAGTTTCCTCAAGGAGGCGCTTTCCATTTGCCACCCTGGTTCACCCGGGCGAACGTCGTATATGTTCAACCTAGCCATCCTGCTATCTACTCGATACGAGAAGTTGAAGGATGTGGAGGACTTGGATGATGCAGTACGCCTTTACGAAGAATGCCTAACCTTGGAACCCCGCAACCACCCTGGTCGACCAATCACCTTAGAAGGTCTTGGAAGGGCTCTCCTAAAGCGGGCACGGAATGAATCTGATATCGCGGCGGGGATGTCTCGCATCGAAGAGTCGCTTTCCTTGCTCTCAAGTCCGTCCCCTACTAGGCAAATGGCCCTGCTCAATTACTTGATAATGTCCTCTCGATTAAACAACCCTCCGATCGATTCGACTATCTTACGCGACCGTTGCGCTGAAGTTGCTAAGCTAACCCCTCCAGAACATCCTGACTATTCCGCGATGACGTCATTGATTGGACCCATCCTCCACACCTGCTATGCCTCCGCACCAGAGTTATTGACTACTCTAGGACTGTGCGTACGCG